TGCATCCTTAAAAAACTGAACTTTCAACTTTCCCTCGGATAATTTCTCTCTAACTCTCTAGCTCTTATGAATTGTATTGATTTTATAGCCGCGCTTTTATTGTTTTTATTATAATATTCATTTCTTATGATAATCTTTATTGTTTTTAGTGGTTATGCATGTTTTTTTTTATTTTTATGTTTTTTCTTTGATTAGTCATTTAGTTTAAGTAACTCGCTCGTCTATGATTATCGGAAGCATACATACATATATATTTTTTATTTTTTTTTTTATTTTTAAATTATAGTACAGTCAGTTATGTATAACTATTATTATTTTTTAATTTTATTATTTAATTATAACTCAAAACAAACATACATTTCCCATTAAAAGACATTTTTTGAATGTTGAAAAAGAAATATTATTATTATTCTCATTCTCACTCCTTTATTTCGGTACTGTAATTAAATGCGATTGATTTAAGTTTCATCTCTTTAGTTTAGATTTTAGTGAAATATAAAAAACAACAAAAACTTATAGTCACTTTAAATAATACTAAAACATTTTAAAAAATGATATACCAAATAAAATATATATAAATAAAATTAAAATTATTGGATTTGAATCCTTCAAATATTATAATAAATGGACTTGAAATAGCAACAGACAAATAGTCGTTGTTTCAATAATATATATATCTGGGTGCGCAGATCGTTTATATTTTTCAAATTTGTCAATGAGATCCTTACAGACAATTGAAAAAGTTCTTTATTAAATAATTTTTATAGAGCTAAATGTACTTCATACCTAACAACACACTCATTTGTAATCCAATACTCTTTTCATGCAGTCCGATTTTTTTAATCGAGAAAAAAATCAATTGAATTCAAATTTTCTGCTTTGCTAAGTTTGGACATTTATTACATTTATGTTGGCTTTATTTCAGCATAAATGTAATACTAGTTTGTATAAAAGGACAAACTTTTGTTGGTCATTTTTATTTTTGGCAAACATTTCTGAAGATTGTGAACGATGCCAAATGTCACATCGGAAACTTGAAACATAAACGTAAATGTATTTTGTTTAATAGGTAAAGGAAAAAACGTTTGAGTATTTCAAGTAGACTTTATGGAGGCGTATGAGACATGAAATATTTTATTTATACCCATGGGACCTTTATATAAATCTGAGCCGATCATGACCAATATCAATAGGGCTCGTCTATGTGCCAAGTATAGTTTCATCCTGTTCGGATCATAAAGGTGACATGTAACTTATTTAAAATAATACATGGACGGAGGGACATGCATAAATCAACTCAAAAACCAATAAGGAAAGTAATAAAGTCGGACGGGGCCGACTATATGATACCCTTCACCACTTTGGGTATATTCTACATATGTATTCTAAAGATCTCGCCTTTTCGAAAGAACATTGACATGAAATTGAACGAACTTAAATATGCGATCTTTACTTATAAGTAAACCGACTAACACCAAGCCCAACACATACAATTCTGCAAAATTTACGCACGCTATTTGGTATGCTTCACTGTTTAAACTATCATATTAATCAGGCACCCATTTATTATTTGGTGTACAATCAACATAAATAGGTCGAAATTATATATGGAAGCTATGCTATATCTAAATCTGAACCGATTTCATAGAAACTTGCCAGCGATTAATTTATATTAATTTCAGTAAGTTTTATCAATCGGCCTAGCTATGAGTCTTTAGTGCACCATTTATTTAAAATCGGACGAAAGTATATATAGGAGCTATATGTAAATCTGAACCAATTTGAAGACAACTTGACACACGAAAGGTTATAGTGAGTTCAGTACATTGTGCAAAATTCTGTGCCGGTTGGCCAAACTTTGGGTCTTTAGGCACAGTTTACATTAAATCCGACGAAAATATATATGGGAGCTATATCTAAATGTGAACCGATTTTCTCGAAACGCACGTCATTCATGACCTAATTTAGTACCCTATGCCAAATTTCGTGCAATTCGAAAAATATATAGGTGCCACATTCACCTTAAATCGGATGAAAATGTATATGGGAGCTATATCTAAATCTGAGCCGATTTTCTCAAAACTTGACACACGTCATTCTAGACTCAATTCAGTAGACTATGCAAAATTTCCCGCAAATCAGAAGATATATAGGGACTTTGATGCACCATTTACATAAAATCGGACAAAACTATACATGGGAGCCATATCTAAACTTGAACCGATTTTCAAGAAACTTAACATACGTCATTATGGACCTAATTCAGTACCATATGTCAAATTTCGGGCAAATCCAAAGATATATAGGGACTTTGGTACACCATTTACCTTAAATTCATCGTAGACAGTAAAAAATATGAGATCTTACATTTTCTAGTGAAGATTACCATTTCAGTATTTGTGGGGTTGAGCCCATACCATTTTCAAGGGTCCAGTTTAACAGTGTAGCCAAAGCACCCTGCACTATGTCTCAGAAATTTATCATTGATCAACACGACTACATCATCGGCATAAGCTACCATCTTTATTCTAACATGAGCGAACTTTACCCAGATCTCATTTATCACTAGGAGCCCCTGAAGTATGTACAGCCTAGTATGCAAACGAAACACATAAATATACCACCTGAAGCAATACAACGATATGACCGGAACAAGTAAATTGTGGGCAACGGTTAAGGCACTCCCGAACTGTGGAAGGAAGGACGACAAGATGGCTACCACATTTAAGAGGTGCCCCTTTTATTTTAACCGGCAATTTATAGAGCACCCCGAGAGTAACAGGGCGAAGATGGGTGTTCTACGTCGTGTAGGAGCCCTCTCATCCGAGCAGGTACAACTACTTTTTAAGCAGGAATATGTTCTAGATGTGATTAAGAAAGCTCCAAAACGTCGAAATTTCCTGGTCATGCTTATGGAACTGTCTGAAACTGGAGTTGAGTACTTCAAGTCTGTCCCCAATTTATCTTTAGCCACTCAGATAGTTCCTGAAGATTGGAAAGTAGGCCTGACAAGGATGCCATCAGATGTGAATCATACAGGCCGATTTTAATTCTGTCGCCAGTTTAAAGTTCTGCAGTTAATTCATGTCGTCGGCGCAAGCCACTGTTATTTTCGATATTTTCAAAAGTGGGAATGAGGTCCTCAAGTCGTTTGCCGGCAGCAATTGAGAGACTGACCAGGAGAACTTGTAGTCCTCTTATAAAGGCCGGTCAGTTGTTAGCTATGTGGCGACAGTTCAGTTTGCGAATTTAAGTGATACACAGTGGAGGAATATTCAGTCTTGTCAGAATTCCGTCTTGAGAACTGCAACAGAGTTGGTGTCCTCATGACACCAGTGCACCGTCCATCGGCACTGATTTGGTATTATCTTCGGAAACACATTAGTCATAGCCTTATTGACAGGCTTCCCTGTCCAGGCACCTCAGGTGAGATCATCACGATCTCGAGAGAGATATAGAGGTCCAAAGGTACAAGCGTTAACCTCTAGATCCGCATCAGACAAACCCCCGCAAGCATGCTCTGAATTGAGCGTAAAATGATGTATATTAAATTTTACCGAACTCGTTTTAGATTTCGATATAGTTTCTATAAATATTTTCGACCGTTTTCATTTAAATGATACACCATATGCAATACGTTTGTCCAACTGAGACTAAATTTTAAATAGAGTATCAAATTGAGTATAGAATGAATTGAATTTATGGCTGTCAAAATAGAAGATTAAAATAAGAATCCTGAGAACCCGCTCGAATATACTTACGGTGATGTAGGATATATCATAATATCGCATCTTTCTGACCTTCATCCTCTACTTACTGCATACTTTTTACTCACCATGCGTCGCTCTTCCAACAAATGATGTAGGGTATCATATAATCGACTTCGATCGATTATTGTCATTTCTTTATTAATAAAATAAACTAAAATTAAAATATCAATTTAATACCGTTATTTTTTTAAATGATTGAAATATGTGTTAATGAACAACTTACCGACAATAAAACAAAATTAATTATAACCCAAAAATAGAGGTGTTAATTAATTGTTCTCTTAATGATGGGTTGTTTGTGATTGTTATTTGAATTTCAAGCGATGGGATAATGTGAAAATATTTTACCCTTTTCGGAAATCCTTCCCTTTCTCATTGTGTTGTTCGTCGTCAATTCTTTTTAACACGTTTGTTATTAACACTTGAGGCCCAGTATCAAAACGGAAGTGTTACTGGAGGAAGTGCGGGGTGGGGGGCAATCCATTGCACTAGCCGTAGTACATCCGTCAACCATCATCAAATGAAACAACCAACTAAAGTTGTTAAGTTGTCATTTAACTGTACTTTGAGCGACACAATTACATGTCAACAACACGCGTACACAGCCAGTCAGGCAGGCAGGCACTTCATCAACAAAAAAATCCCATACTGGATGGTGTTTACAATACACACATATTGTTCGTATGTATATTCATATGTAGAGTGGGAGATTACTGCGGACTAAAACACAAAAGGAAACACTGTTATATTTTGTTCTTCATTTTTTTCTCATACATGCCTGACTGGTAGACCAGAATGGCCAGGACACTTTATCATATAAACATGCCACAACGAGTACAACCGGAAACAACAACACTCTGTTTGTAACGGGCTTACGCGGACGACGTGTTTATAAAAAAAGCCGCACACATACTTGTCTACCGCGCCACGCATACAGTCACACATCGAGATCGAGTGTGTGACTCGTAGCCAGACAACGGTTACAAGAAACATTAAGTAAACTTACGTTTCATATCCGTTTTTTATTTGGTTTTCGTGCAATCTTTACGCCTTTTGTTTTGCACCGCGCTGCTTGACATCAGTCACACTAAGAGGAGGTGGTACCATCTGCATCCTTTGCCCAAGGAGGCAATCTGTCTGAGCCTAGACTTGGTTGGTTGGGTTGATGTATTAAACAAAAAATAAAAAAAACTATAAACTCAGTGAAAAGAAGTAACAGTTACTTTTCAACATCATGGTTGATATTAAATCTACTTCGAACGCCGTATGGTGGATAAAAAATCCGTCACAACACAAACGTCGCCACGAGTCGTTGGGTAGCAAATTCAGCAAGGATATGACAGATTTATTTAGCAATATATCTTTGCATGCTTACAATAAATTTGTCGATTCGGGATTATTTTCATATGAGAAGTAAGTATACAATTTGATATATACATACATATGTGGGCAAATGCAGCAGGTGAATGATATGAGTGATTCCATATAATAATATAAAAAATAATAATAACAAAAAAACCAGTGAGCGGAGCAGTATAGTCGGACGGGGCCGACCATACGATACCCTACACAACTTTCATGAAAATCTAACTTTCTGTGGTTCTATATTCTGAGATTGGGCAATATTTCGCGATATTTGCACACTTTTGACTGGATAGAGGTCAGAAAATGTTACTAATAATCATTACAGCACCTCTAATACGGCTTTCGACTCGAAAAGTACAAATAATTAAGTTTTCGGTCCACTTCATCCGAAAAATATTATCTGATCATCACTTAAAATTTTAGGCGCTGTCCTTGACCATAACTGGAACCTCTTGGAACATTTCACAGCGATCAGCGCTATACTTCCGTCCTCCAGTGTGGTAATAGGTTACTAAATAATATATGAATACGTAAGCACCTGCAAATTTTTAAGTGTAACTCCCGCATCCGAGTACCTACGACAATATAATTGGTATCAATTTAAAGGTCAACCACTCCTCTTGGATATACTAGCAACTTCTCGGGTCTATGTCCTTCAGTGGTAAATATATACGCCCGATCCCCTTCTCCATGCAAAAATTCGCGGTGATTGGCCCATAATTGCGGCATTTGGAGCGACCAGAAAAACCGATAAAAATAAAGTTTTTGGTCCATTTTATCCCTAAATATTAACTGATCTTTTCCAAAAACAATAGGGGTCTTCATTGGCCAGAACCTATCCTACATGCAAAATTTCGTGAAGATTGGTCCATAACTGTGGCCTGTATCGTGTTTACAAATTATAATGGACAGACGGACAGGCGGAAGAACGGACACACATATCTAGATCGACTCAGCTAGTCGACTTATGACGATCGGTATACTTAAAGGTGGGTCTAGGACAAATATTTCGCGGCGTTACAAACTCTTGGGACTGCACAAAGCTATAATACCCTGACAACATAGTTGTGTAGGGTATAACAAGTAAAATAAAAACTATGTTAAGTTCTGCTCGGCCGAATTTGTTATATCCTCCACCAGGAGGATGAATATCAAAATATCTAAAATTATATTGGGACTTTGGGCAACCTTTTACATTAAATCGGATGAAAATATATATGGAAGCAATATCAAAATCTGAACCGATTTTCACGAAACTTAACATACATCATTCCAGAACTAATTCAATACGCTGTGCCAAATTTCGTGCAAATCGAAAGATATATACATTAAATCGAAGGAAAATATATATGGGAGCTATATCAAAATCTGAACCGATTTTAACGAAACATGACACGTCATTCTAGACCTAATTCAAAACGCTGTACCAAATTTCGTGCAAATCGAAAGATATATAGGGACTTTGGTGCACCATTTACATTAAATCGGACGAAAATATATATGGGAGCTATATCTTAATCTGAACCGATTTTTCTCAATTTTAATAGCGTTCGTCCTTGGGCCAAATAAATGAGCTGTGCCAAATTTTATACAAATTTTTATACAGGTCGTATGTATCGAATGATACATACGACCTGTACTTTGTTTACAATTTAACATAAACAGACGGACGGACATGTATACATCGACTTAGAAAGTGATTCTATGCATATTCTCAAAAGGAACCATGGGTCTATTTCGATTCCTTTTGCCAGTTACAAACATATGCACATAATGCTCTGTAACACAGTGTGGTGAAGGGTACAAAAATGTGCTATACAATGAGAATTGAAAATGTAAAATTACAGAAAAGTTGGTTGGAAAACGTGTCCAAAATACCGAATACGGTGGTGCGATGGAAAGAGGCAGGCGTAAGTAAATCAGACAATTACGCTCAATTTGGCTGCGGATTTAGGGTTAACTATTCCCCTGATAATTCGTCTCCAGGGGAATCGCTATAATCCGTATAAAAGCGAAGTTCTTCTACATCAGTCGCATGCTCCGACGGAAGACAAAGATAAGCAGACCAAAATCATTTTTTACGAGCGTCTAGAAACAGCATATGACCGCTGCCCTGGCCATGACATTAAAATTTTGCTATCGGATTGGAAAATATTGTTGGCTCTACCGTCGGAAAATCCATGAAGCAACATCCGACAAAGGCATGAGGTTAATTGATTTCGCAGTAGCAAAAACATTGTAATTAGCAGCACCAGATTCAAGCATCTTGATGTATACATGGCCACTATCAAACAACGAGAAATCAAATTGATCATGTTGTGATAGACGGAAGGTATTCATCCAGTGTTTTAGACGTTCGATCGATACGAGGAGCGAATATCAATTTGGACCAATACCTTGTAGCAACCAAGGTTCATACTCGTCCTAATGTAGCAGCAACGTTGCGATCTAATGTAACACGGAAACTCGACGTCGAAAAGCTTCAAACACAACATGTAGCAGAAGCCTACTCCGCTCAACTTACCCAATTGCTTGACGAAAGCATATCTTGTCCCTATAATAACAATGGCAAAGAATTGCCCACTCCCTACAAACTGCAGCAAAAGCAACACTTGTGTACCAAAAAACACCATCAAAAATTCACGGTACGATCAGTAGTGTCGTAATGCTACTGATGTGATAAAAGCAGCGTATAGGGCAACCCTGCAGACAGTAGCAACACGTAATGCGATGGAGAATTATCGGGAGAAAAGAAGGGAGGAGAAACGTATTATCAGAAAAAAAAGAAAAACGTGATCGTGAGGAAATCATGCAGGAGTCAAAATGAAGTCCGGAAATTTTAACACAAGTAAAACACCAAACCGAAGGCTTTGGAAGGCTGTACAGATGAAGATGGAAACCTGGTGGCAGATACAGACATCGTGTTGAGGATCTGGAAAGAGCATTTAAAAAAAAAATCTTCTTTTATCAAATAGTGGCGGTGAAGAAGACATCCCAGAACCAATAATAAATAACGGTATAGAGTGTATACAACCTAGCAAAGATGAGGTCAGAATAGCAATCGGCTGAAGAATAATATAGCACCGGCTGGGGTTACCAGCCGAACTATTCAAGATTGGTGTCAGATGCTGGTCAGAAACATGCACCAGCTGATTAGTACAATTTGGCTAGGGGAATACATGCCCAATGATTAGAACCTCAGTATCCTGAGACAAGACGATATGTGCCAACTACAGCGGAATTAGTCTTGTTCCCATCGTAAGTGCTATCAAGCGTGCTTTGTGAACGACTGAAGCCAATGGTCAATGACATTTTTGGATCATACGAATACGGCTTCGGACCTGGCAAATCCACCATTGACCACATTTTCACACTGTACCAAATCCTGGAAAAAACTCACTACATCGACACATTCCACCTATTCGTCGACTATAAATCCGCATTCGACAGCCCTATCCGTTCAGAGGAGTGTAAAGCCATACCTGCGTTTGGCATTCCTACAAAATTAATACGGCTATGCAGGATAACTTTAAGTGGCACAAGTTCAGCAGTGGAAGTCGGAAAGGACATATTGGAACCCTTTAACACCGAACGAGGATTTAGGCGATGCGACAGTTTGTCGTATCATCGTTTTAACATTCTGCTGGAAAAGGTCATACGAGAGGCAAAGGTGAACAGAAATGACACTCTGTACACCAAACAACACATGTTACTCGCCTACGCCGACGTCATCGACATAATGGGTCGATCATTGCGAGGGATAACAGTTTCTTTTGAACGAATTGAGAAGTAGTCTGGCAAAGTGGTCCATTAGACTCGGACCAATTGTGGAATTTGAAAACTACTGCTTCGAGGTAGTGAACGATACTTCGGCACCGCCATAAACAAAACCAATAAAATCAGCTTTGAAATCCGGAGAAAAATAGTGTTGACCAACAAATGCTACTATAGTCTGTGTAAGTAATTTAGGAATAAGGCCACCTTTTGCCAGATCAAACTCACACTCTACAAGACACTGATACTACCCGTGCTGTTGTATGGATCTGAAGCATGGGTACTTGCGCAAGCAGATGAGACAGCTTTTGGAGTCGTAGTCATGTTGTGAGAATGGATGAGGATGCCCCTGCTCAAAGAGCATATAAAAGCGAGCCAACTGATGGTTCACGCAGAAGGGAAAGGCCACGAATTCGATTTAAAAATCAAGTGGAAGACATCATTTCGGAACACGGTCTTTCAAATTGGAGTAGTTGTGCAACATACCGCCGCGCTTGGAAATCGTTTTTAAGCTCGGCTTATGAAACAAATGTTCTGTCACAAGTCAGCTAAGTAGGTAAGTAAGATCCTTTGCCCGGCTACAATGGTGGCCTCTAGAACGACTAGGAAATCATACGGAACAAGTTTTTGGTCCAGCATCTGATCATCACCAAAATTTGTAAGTGTCGGCCCTAAACATAACCGGAATTTCAAGTACATAGCGATCCGCGCGACTTTTTCGCCTTCTAGTGTGGTAATGGTAATACTACCAAAACAAAATACCTAAACACCTCTAATTATCTAAGTAAACCTCCAACATCGTGGTACATACAACGTACTCCATGGCCATACCCCTTATCTGTTAAAAATTATGTGATGTTCAAGTCAAAATTATGGCCTGGTCCATTTCATGCCATTAATCATTACCAAAAACAATAGGGGTCTTCTTTGGCCAGAATCCGTGGGTCGGAAATTATTATTTCGATAAGTTACACTTTAGAGGAACTTGTTCGATATTTAGGATTCAACATTTCCCAAAAATAATGTTGGTATATGATTTCATGTTGTGATCCATATCAATTCATAATCTATTATATATTTTTATACCCTTCACCACACTGTGGTACAGGGTATTATGTCTTTGTGCATATGTTTGTAACAGGCAAAAGGAAACGAGATAGACCCATGGTTCCTTTTGAGAATATGCATAGAATCACTTTTTAAGTCGATTTATGCATGTCCGTCCGTCCGTCTGTCTGTCCATGTATTTTTGTGAGCAAAGTACAGGTCGCATTTATGATCCGAATTGGATGAAATTTGGCACAGCTCATTTGTTTGGCCCAAGGACGAACCCTATTGAAATTGGGAAAAATCGGTTCAGATTTAGATATAGCTCCCATATATATTTTCGTCCGATTTAATGTAAATGGTGTACCAAAGTCCCTATATATCTTTCGATTTGCACGAAATTTGGTATAACTTACTGAATTGAGCCTAGAATGATGTGTGCCAAGTTTCGAGAAAATCGGCCCAGATTTAGATATAGCTCCCATATATAGTTTCGTCCGATTTCATGTAAATGGTGCGCCAAAGTCCCTATATATCTTTCGATTTGCACGAAATTTGGCATAACGTACTGAATTGAGCCTAAAGTGATGTCTGCCATGTTTCGTGAAAATCGGTCCAGATTAAGATATAGCTCCCATATATAGTTTCGTCCGATTTCACGTAAATGGTGCACCAAAATCCCTATATATCTTTCGATTTGCACGAAATTTGACATAACGTACTGAATTGAGCCTTGAATGATGTCTGCCAAGTTTCGAGAAAATCGGTATAGATTTAGATATAGCTCCCACATATAGTGTCGTCCGATTTCATGTAAATGGTGCACAAAAGTCCCTATATATCTTTCGATTTGCACGAAATTTGGCATAATGTACTGAATTGAGCCTAGAATGATGTCTGGTATGTTTCGTGAAAATCGGCCCAGATTTAGACATAGCTCCCATATATAGTTTCGTCCGATTTCATGTAAATAGTGCACCAAAGTCTCTATATATCTTTCGATTTGCACGAAATTTGGCATAACGTAATGAATTGAGCCTAGAATGATGTCTGCCAAGTTTCGTGAAAATCGGTTTAGATTCAGATATAGCTCCCACATATAGTTTCGTCCGATTTCATGTAAATGGTGCGCCAAAGTCCCTATATATCTTTCGATTTGCACGAAATTTGACATAAAGTACTGAATTGAGCCTAGAATGATGTCTGGTATGTTTCGTGAAAATCGGTCCAGATTTAGATATAGCCCCCATATATAGTTTCGTCCGATTTCATGTAAATAGTGCACCAAAGTCCCTATATATCTTTGGATTTGCACGAAATTTGGCATAACGTACTGAATTGATTCTGAAATGATGTGTGCTGAGTTTCTTGAAAATCGATTCAGATCTAGATATATATATATATATATATAATCTAATCTAAATAATGTACCAAGTTCTTATGTTGCACAGCGTTTTGAATTTAATCCAGAATGATGTGTGCCAAGTTTAGTGAAAATCGGTTGAGATTTAGATATAGCTCCCTTATATTATAGGTTGATTTTAAGTAATTGACGCAGCAAGGAACCAATATATGGCTGATAGGAACAAAACGTACTGAAATTAGTATAACCTAACCTGTGACAAGTTTCGATGAAATCGGTTCATATTTGGATATAGCATCCATATATAAGTAAATTGTGCATCAAACTCCTCATATCTGTTAGATTGACATCAAATTTTGCACAACGTGCAAAGAAGTACAGACCTAGCCCAACGGATGATATTTGTTTGATGTCGATTTACATACTTATGTTCCATTGTAATATACCCATAGTGGTGAAGGGTATCATATAGTCGGCCCCGTCCGACTTTACTACTTTCCTTACTGGTTTAAATATGTAGTTGTGTGATCGTCGTCTCATTCGTTTCATATTAAGACAGACAAAGAAATTTCAGTATTAATCGACAGAGGTGTACTCAACCATAAAACGCACCATTTTTCCGTATACGTTTGTAAACAAGAATGTGCGTGTGTTCGATGAAAACCATCGATTAAGTAACGAAAGGAAAACAAATGCAATGGGTTTATAACAGTTAAACACTTTGGATTTTTTTTTATTTTCAAATATTGCTCCCTGTGTATCTCGACATTCAATTTCATCCGATATTTATGGAAATCGTTTTTCTCGCCTTCTTTTCCAGATTCATTTGGCTGTGTGTCCATGTCACCATTCTTTGTTTTATGTGCGTCGCATTGACATACACTTGGGATCAATTTGTCCTTCAACATTTTTCCATCAATTTGTATGACCCATTGTATCCAGTGCAGAATGTTCCGTTTCCGGCTGTATCAATCTGTTCGAATAATCGCATTTCACACAAGGCGGCTCTGCAATATGCTCAGGAATTGTAAGTATACATTTTTTGAAGGGGATAAACCAAAGAAGAAATTAAATTTTGGGGAATGGAAATTTAATATTTAAATGCGTTTTGAAAATATTTTATATATTCTTTTTATTTTTTCTCCATATTTTGTTTCTATTTTCAGATCCAAGGTGGATCCTTATAATCGTTCGGTGGATTTTTTCATGAAACGCATCGCCTACTTTAATAGTTTCTATTTTAGACACGACAAATTGGAGAGTCATTTGGATTACAGAGAATTTCAGAAATTTCTTGATCATTATGGAACGGACGACAATGAAACATTTTATAATATGCTGAAGATAATGCAAAGGGTAATGTATATAAATAATAATAATGCTTCAAATTGAAACGAAGCATAGACAAACCGAGCGATTGGGTCTTCGAAGACCGTAATTGTTCGGTTGCTAATATATGGCGGTCCAACAATGGACCAATATTGAAAATTATCTGTGAAGAAGTTACCTATTCAACACGAATGCGCTATGCCAAATTCCTGCAAACTTTGGTGTGGAATGTCGATTTAAATGGAGGCTATGTTAAAAAATGGATTAATCATTTTAAGCATAGAAGCCTCCAAAGTCCGCAATGATGGATTAAAACAAAATACAGAAACTGAGCGTAGACCCTTATATGGGGGGCTATGCTAACCCGGAGTGCCAATTACAGCCATTTTTGTGGAAACAATGCCGCTAAAAATGTCAAAACATGGTTGGGACCTTTATATGAGGGCTTTATCAAAACATGGACTAATATCGATCATTTTCTGTATAAGTGTATGCCGAATTACAGCCATTTTGGTTGAAAATGTGACTAAACCCTTCAAAATAACAAACAATTTCCCGCACATTTAAAAACAACAATGGGCCGGGTATTATTGCAAAAATACGGCTTGAGCCATTGACATAGGGTGGACCTTTCTATGGGAATTATATAAACATAAATATCGAAGATCTCTGCGCAAATATTTCTAACCTCCCACTATGGGCCAGTACCTCGATGCTTTTGCAATCAAACACATGGAACTGACGAATATATTGAAAGTGAAAATTAATAGCAATTTCAAGGTAATCAACAAAATTTTTTTCCGTAGCGAACATGGCTCTCAATATAGTGAATTTCTTGCTGTGGGTCAGGTATCTATTTTCGTATACAGTCCACTGGAGATAGGAGCTTATGCCAAGCTTAAAAAAGATTTCCAGGCGCGTCAGTCTTGTGAACAGTTCTTCCAATTGGAAGGACCATGTTCCGAGATGTTGTCCTCTACATGATCTTTCCACACATCAATTGGCTTGTTTTTTTATGCATTTTGAGTGGGAAAATCCTCAGCCATTCTCACAACATGACCTAACCATAGTGGAGGCTGCAGCTGGTTACGTCTGACTATGTCAATGGATGAGAATACTTTGTATAGCTCATGGTTTGTTCGACGAGATTATTTTCTCTCAAACACTCCAATATCTGCTCCATTTGCATGCGCAAGTACCCGTGCTTCGGATCCATACAACAACACGGGCAATATCAGTGTCTTGTAGAGTGTGAGTTTGGTCTGGCTAGACATGGCCTTGCTTTTAAGTTGCTTACTCAGACCATAGTAGCATCTGTTGGCCATCACAATCCTTCTCCGAATTTCCAAACTGATGTCATTCGTTTTATTTATGGCGGTACCAAGGTATGTAAAATCTTTAACTACCTCGAAGCCGTAGTTTTCAAGTTTCACAGTTGGTCCGAGTCTACTGGACGTCTTGCGCGTTGATACCATTAGCTTGGTCTTCTCGCCGTTTACTGTCAGACCCACTTTGGCTGACTCCTTCTCAATTTGTTCAAAGATTGTGGGGTGCGCCTCTGTTTGCTATTGGGAATAAGAAGAAGCATGCATATTTACGATCATTCACAATAGTCAAACCATATGTTTGTGAATAATGTCAAACAAAACACGACTGAGAGAATTGGAATAAATTATAAACAAAAGAAAAAATATGATGACAGGAGCCTTTCTTCCTTACGAAATGGATAAATTTCGTTCCTTTTTGATTTGACCTTTGATGAAGATTGGTTGTGTTGCCCTGATTAGGGTGAAGAAAATACATCGTTTTTAAATATCAATTCGACTTTTTTATTGTGTAATATTGATTTGGAATTTGAAAGAAAACACAAAACAGCAATACAATACAAACAGAAACCAACTGAAGGTGCATGAACATATCAAACATTTGAAAAACAATTTTGCTTAAAATAAAATTAAAAATAAATATCAGGAACCACAGCATCGCACATCCAATCCAACGAGGGAGAATCAGCACTTTATGGCATGACCAGTCCGGCATGCCCAGGTATCTTGCCAAAGCGACTACCTACTTTAAACTCTGGACGGACAGACGGACGACCAGCTTCGAATTTGATATATTCCAAAACTGATCTTGCTATAAAAAAATTGAACAAAGTTAAAGGGTGAACAAGTGCATTTTCTTTATATCAATTGTGGTCACCTGTTGTTTTTTATTGTTCTAATTCGGGGTTGAGCTCAGGCCAGGATTAGGGACCACCAACATAGACAGCCTTTAAAGTGTAAAGGCAGACACGCCTTGGTTGCCTCTTTCTGTATATTTGAAACACAAAAAAAAAAAAAGAAATTAGAAAATATATAGGGTGGACCTTTCTATGGGAATTATATAAACATAAATATCGAAGATCTCTGCGCAAATATTTCTAACCTCCCACTATGGGCCAGTACCTCGATGCTTTTGCAATCAAACACATGGAACTGACGAATATATTGAAAGTGAAAATTAATAGCAATTTCAAGGTAATCAACAAAATTTTTTTCCGTAGCGAACATGGCTCTCAATATAGTGAATTTCTTGCTGATACCTGACCCAGTATCTATTTTCGTATACAGTCCACTGGAGATAGGAGCTTATGCCAAGCTTAAAAAAGATTTCCAGGCGCGTCAGTCTTGTGAACAGTTCTTCCAATTGGAAGGACCATGTTCCGAGATGTTGTCCTCTACATGATCTTTCCACACATCAATTGGCTCGTTTTTTTTATGCATTTTGAGTGGGAAAATCCTCAGCCATTCTCACAACATGACCTAACCATAGTGGAGGCTGCAGCTGGTTACGTCTGACTATGTCAATGGATGAGAATACTTTGTATAGCTCATGGTTTGTTCGACGAGATTATTTTCTCTCAAACACTCCAATATCTGCTCCATTTGCATGCGCAAGTACCCGTGCTTCGGATCCATACAACAACACGGGTAATATCAGTGTCTTGTAGAGTGTGAGTTTGGTCTGGCTAGACATGGCCTTGCTTTTAAGTTGCTTACTCAGACCATAGTAGCATCTGTTGGCCATCACAATCCTTCTCCGAATTTCCAAACTGATGTCATTCGTTTTATTTATGGCGGTACCAAGGTATATAAAATCTTTAACTACCTCGAAGCCGTAGTTTTCAAGTTTCACAGTTGGTCCGAGTCTACTGGACGTCTTGCGCGTTGATACCATTAGCTTGGTCTTCTCGCCGTTTACTGTCAGACCCACTTTGGCTGACTCCTTCTCAATTTGTTCAAAGATTGTGGGGTGCGCCTCTGTTTGCTATTGGGAATAAGAAGAAGCATGCATATTTACGATCATTCACAATAGTCAAACCATATGTTTGTGAATAATGTCAAACAAAACACGACTGAGAGAATTGGAATAAATTATAAACAAAAGAAAAAATATGATGACAGGAGCCTTTCTTCCTTACGAAATGGATAAATTTCGTTCCTTTTTGATTTGACCTTTGATGAAGATTGGTTGTGTTGCCCTGATTAGGGTGAAGAAAATACATCGTTTTTAAATATCAATTCGACTTTTTTATTGTGTAATATTGATTTGGAATTTGAAAGAAAACACAAAACAGCAATACAATACAAACAGAAACCAACTGAAGGTGCATGAACATATCAAACATTTGAAAAACAATTTTGCTTAAAATAAAATTAAAAATAAATATCAGGAACCACAGCATCGCACATCCAATCCAACGAGGGAGAATCAGCACTTTATGGCATGACCAGTCCGGCATGCCCAGGTATCTTGCCAAAGCGACTACCTACTTTAAACTCTGGACGGACAGACGGACGACCAGCTTCGAATTTGATATATTCCAAAACTGATCTTGCTATAAAAAAATTGAACAAAGTTAAAGGGTGAACAAGTGCATTTTCTTTATATCAATTGTGGTCACCTGTTGTTTTTTATTGTTCTAATTCGGGGTTGAGCTCAGGCCAGGATTAGGGACCACCAACATAGACAGCCTTTAAAGTGTAAAGGCAGACACGCCTTGGTTGCCTCTTTCTGTATATTTGAAACACAAAAAAAAAAGAAATTAGAAAATATAAAAATACTGGAATGTATTAAAAAAAGGCTACTATATACTTACGAACATACCATACGCGAGCTTTGGGGAAGATTGCCCTGAAAATAGTGGAGAAAAAAATATGGTAATTAATGATATAATTTTCTGTAAATAGATTGGAATGTATTTGGTGTGAAGAATATTTTAGGAAGGTGGTAGGGATGTGGTAAAGGAGAGGAAGGGGTAGGTCAGATTAGGGACACAAAAATGTGTCATGGCGAGAAGGAATCTCGGTGGGTGGGAGTTTCCTCGGCAGGTAAACCGTCGGGGGAACAACTGTTTCTATAGGTTTGTGTAGTTAAACTACAAGCATTATTTTCTAGTTATTCTTTTTCCATTTTCTTTTTCTGGCATATTTCGGGTTTCCCAATATTACATTAATTTATTTCAATTAAAAGCCCGGTATGATTTAGTTTGTTTTTGTACAGCCGTATCGTTTATTGGTTGGCAAGAACCACCCCTCATCCGGTGAGCTTTAGCCGCGCAAAACGCCAGCATACCGGCAAAGCCAATCAACGAACATAAAATATAAACCTTTTCAAAACATCGGCAGTTACAAGATGGCTGTTACCGCTCGAAATGTTCTACCTAGGATCAGGATGTTAAAAAGGTCAAACGACAAACTGTCACCTTGTATAAATCTTCGTTCGGTATTAAAGGGCTCCGAGAGGTCCTTTCCGACTCTAACTGCTTACCTTGTGTCAGCTAAAGTCATCCTGCATAGCCGTATTAATTTTGCACTTATGCCAAACGCAGACATGGCTTTAAATACCTCTGAGCAGATTGGGCTGTCGAATGCGGCTTTATAGTCGAAGAATATGTGTGTGATGTGTTTTTCGTGGGTCTTTTTCCAGGATTTGGCGCAGAGTGAATATGGTGGATTTGCCAGGTATGAAGCCGCATTGGTATGGTCCAATAATGTCATTCACCATTGCCTTCAGTCGTCCACACAGTACGCTGGACGACTGAAGGCGATGGGAATAGGCTAATCCCTCTATAGTTGGCACATATTGTATTGTCTCCTTTTTTATGAGCGGGGCACAGGATGCTGTGGTTCCAAACACTGGGTAGGCATTCCTCTAGCCGAATTATACTAATCAGTTGGTGCATGCTCCTAATCAGCGTCTGACCACCGTTCTCGAATAGTTCGACTGGTAATTCATCAGCATCTGCTGCTTTATTATTCTTCAGCCGACTAATTGCTATTCTGACCTCATCTTGGCTAAGTGGAATACAATCATCTCTAATTGGTTCTGGTGTATCTTCTTCACCTTTACCATTTAATAGCAGAAGCTTTGCAAAATGCTCCCTCCAGATCTTCAACACGCTGTTTGTATCTGTCACCAGGTTTCCTTCTGCATCCCTACAGAAGGATGTGTCTGCACCAAAACCTACGGTTTGGTGTTTTACTCATTGGTAAAATTTCCGGACTTCATTTTGACTCCTGTACATCTCGATTTGCTCACGCTCGCGTTTTTCTTGTACTTTCTTCTTTTTTCTGAAAACACGTTTCTCCTCTCTCCTTTTCTCCCGATAATTCTCCATCACAATACGTGTTGCTACTGTCTGCAGTAGCATTACGACACTCCTGATCGTACCATGGGTTTCTTGGTGGTGGTTTTTGGTACACAAGTGATGTTTTTGCTGCAGTATGTAGGGAGTGGGCAATTCTTTGCCATTGTGCTTCTACACTATTATCGGGACAACAAGTGCTTTCGTCAAGCAGGTGGGTAAGTTGAGCGGAGTAGGCCTCGGCTACCTGTTGTGTTTACAGCTTTTCGACGTCGAGTTTCCGTGTTGTGTTAGATCGCACTTTTGCTGCAACATTAAGAAGAGTGCGAACCTTAGCTGCTACAAGGTAGTGGTCCGAATCGATATTAGCTCCTCGGATCGATCGAACGTCTAATACACTGGATGAATGCCTTCCGTTTATCACAAAATGATCAATTTGATTTCTCGTTGCTTGAGCTGGAGAATTCAGATGGTCTTGTGTATATCGAGATGATTGAATCTGGTGCCATGTTTTTTGCTGCCGCGAAGTCAATCAACCCCATGCCGTTGTTGGATGTTTCTTCATGAAGGCTGAATTTTCCGACGGGTGGGCCAAATATATTTTCCCTTCCGATTTTTGCATTAAAATCTCCTAGCAGAATTTTAATGTCATGGCCAGGGCAACGGCCATATGCTGTTTCTAGGCGCTCGTAAAATATGTCTTTAGTCTGCTCATCTTTATCTTCGGTCGGAGCACGGGCGCAAATAAGACTGATGCAGAAGAAGAACGCTCATCTACTGGAGTGAATCTGAAGAGGAGGTTTTTTATTCTCCGCAGCTAAAGTCTCATTTCATGACAGCTATAATACAGGGCGTAATCATCTGATTTACTTACGCCAGTACCTTTCCATCGCATTTCCTGTAAGGCAATAATATCGGTTTTGTACTTCTTGAGTACATCCACCAAAGCGAACACTGCGCCTGAACAACGTGCGCACATTCCATTGTCATTCCATGACAGCTATAATACAGGGCGTAATCATCTGATTTACTTACGCCAGTACCTTTCCATCGCATTTCCTGTAAGGCAATAATATCGGTTTTGTACTTCTTGAGTACATCCACCAAAGCGAACACTGCGCCTGAACAACGTGCGCACATTCCAAGTGCAAATTCGCAGATCGTGGTCCTTCATACGTTTGCGGGGTCGGTTTGGTTTTATTTTTCTTAGCTTTTTCATAGTAGATTGGGTTTTCCGAGAGTGGGCAACTAACCCGACACCTCAACCCATTTTTTTATAGTTCTTATGGGTGAACTCGCTGCACATATTAGCTCACTATTTCAATGGGTGATGAAAATAGCTATTCCAGGTGACACCGCGGGGAGGTCAGTGTCCACAATTGAGATGAAAGAGGGACCAAGATAAGCCTGGCCTTCGCCATTTTAAAGCCAATCAGAGCCGTTGCTTGGTATTTATCAACCCCTATGCCACCCCATCAGGCTTCGTAGGGTATCATATAATCGACTTTGCTTGATTTGAATTCCTTACAAGTTTAATTTTTATTTGTTTTCTGATATCATTATCATGGGAAAAAATAATTCTTAAATTATACGTGGACGATTTAAGCTGAAATCATATGTTCTTATAGAGAGTAAATCTATCCGCAAGATCATTTTATATCTAATATTGCAACAATATCAGTAATTATGCAATTTTCCGATTTCCGAATTTACAGCTTACACCGAAATGTGAAGATTTCATATTGGCCTGTATGTTGGGCGCCAAAAGAGTTAATTGCTTTGAAGAGCAGACATTTCAGACCCAATTGACACAGTATGGACCTTGTTGTATGTTCAACTCAAATGATAGGTAATCAAATAAGAACATTTATATTAAATCTCCTAAAAAATAAAACAAACAACTTTTTTAAAAATAGTTACAGAAAACGTACATATCGCACACGATTCTCCGGCTCTGGCATGGGCCTGATTGTCGTCTTGAACACAAGCCATGCTGATGATATGGCCAGTCTATTGAATATGGATGGCTATGCTGTTATTGTACACTCACCAAATCGATATCCGGAAATATCTTCGGGTAGTAGTTTGGAAGTATTTCCCATTATCAACGAAGAGACTTTTATTGGTTTGAAGGCACGTGTTTTGGATAGTAGCGATGATTTGAGATCATTTGCGGCATCGCATGTAAGTAAAAATTCCTTAAATTCCCCTTTAAGGAAATTTTTTAAAATTTTTTTTTGATATTTTAGCGCAAATGTTATTTCGATGATGAAGTTCCGCTGAATTATAATAATAAATATTCAATGCAAAATTGCATCACACTTTGCCGAGCGCGTAGCATAATGGCTCTATGTAATTGTATACCATTCTATACGCCATTGTCGCTGGTGCATGATATGAATGGGGTGCCATTTTGTACCCTGGGTAATATTGAGTGTATGCAGCAGTATAAATGTAAGTTAGACAATTTTTTTTTAAATTATTTCACAAGTAAAGATATTTGGATACACTCGTATTGCAAAATAAAATGGGGGTGTATACGTTTTGGCAACAATCATACGCCTATGGTTGCAATCTTGTAAACATATGGGAGCGTATACGTTACGACAATGATTATACACATATGGACTCTATAATGTAAATAGCAAGGAATTGGTTCTGAATATAGCCCTTGATTTAATTGTTCATTTTAATCTAAACTAAATCCCAATTACCAATTTTCCGATTTTTAAACTCCCCACTCCTCTGCAAGAACTTCTCCACTTGTGAAAACTCTTCACATTTTAACCCCTTCTTCTTTCTCTTATAGTCAAATGGCGTAATGCTTTAACGGAACACATTAAAATTCTCGGTTTGGAACGGGTTGTATACGTTTTGATAACAATCATACGCCTATGGTTGAAATCTTGTAACCATATGGGAGCGTATACTTTACGTCAATGATTATACGCATAAGGTCTCTATAATGGAAATAGCAAGGAATTGGTTCTGAATATAGCCCTTGATTTAATTGTTCATTTTAATCTAAACTAATTCCCAATTACCAATTTTCCGATTTTTGAATTCCCCCACTCCTCCGAAAAAAACCCTTCACATTTCCACCCTTCTTCTTTCTCTTATAGTCAAATGGCGTAATGTTTTAACGGAACACATTAAAATTCCCGGTTTGGAACGTGAAAATGAAGAAGCTCTTCTTTGTCCCCAATGTTTGCAATCATGTGATGACGTCAACTATGACATCTCAATGATGTCATTACCGGCTGATCGTTTTTCATTGCCCAAGGGTGTGGAGTAAGTACCAACATGGTCCAAATCCAATGTCCACAAAATAATATGTATTTTTCTGTGCTTTTCAAATAGTGATTTTAGTACCGATTTCAATAAATCAGAAATATCCGTTCTAAAAGTCTTTTTTGCTGAAGCTACTGCTCCATACTATAAACGTGTCGTCACAAACACTTGGATGGAGGCAACAAGTAAGTTTTGTTTTGTTTGAAAAAAGATTAAATAAATAATGGCCTTAAAGAAATATTCTTTAAAAATCCACGCCTTGAAGTCTGTATGTCCTTAAAGAAATATTCTTTAAAAATCCACGCCTTGAAGTCTGTATGTCCTTAAAGAAATATTCTTTAAAAATCCACGCCTTGAAGTCTGTATGTCCTTAAAGAAATATTCTTTAAAAATCCACGCCTTGAAGTCTGTATGTCCTTAAAGAAATATTCTTTAAAAATCCACGCCTTGAAGTCTGTATGTCCTTTAAGAAATATTCTTTAAAAATCCACGCCTTGAAGTCTGTATGTCCTTAAAGAAATATTCTTTAAAAATCCACGCCTTGAAGTCCGTATGTCCTTAAAGAAATATTCTTTAAAAATCCACGCCTTGAAGTCCGTATGTCCTTAAAGAAATATTCTTTAAAAATCCACGCCTTGAAGTCCGTATGTCCTTAAAGAAATATTCTTTAAAAATCCACGCCTTGAAGTCCGTATGTCCTTAAAGAAATATTCTTTAAAAATCCACGCCTTGAAGTCCGTATGTCCTTAAAGAAATATTCTTTAAAAATCCACGCCTTGAAGTCCGTATGTCCTTAAAGAAATATTCTTTAAAAATCCACGCCTTGAAGTCCGTATGTCCTTAAAGAAATATTCTTTAAAAATCCACGCCTTGAAGTCCGTATGTCCTTAAAGAAATATTCTTTAAAAATCCACGCCTTGAAGTCCGTATGTCCTTAAAGAAATATTCTTTAAAAATCCACGCCTTGAAGTCCGTATGTCCTTAAAGAAATATTCTTTAAAAATCCACGCCTTGAAGTCCGTATGTCCTTAAAGAAATATTCTTTAAAAATCCACGCCTTGAAGTCCGTATGTCCTTAAAGAAATATTCTTTAAAAATCCACGCCTTGAAGTCCGTATGTCCTTAAAGAAATATTCTTTAAAAATCCACGCCTTGAAGTCCGTATGTCCTTAAAGAAATATTCTTTAAAAATCCACGCCTTGAAGTCCGTATGTCCTTAAAGAAATATTCTTTAAAAATCCACGCCTTGAAGTCCGTATGTCCTTAAAGAAATATTCTTTAAAAATCCACGCCTTGAAGTCCGTATGTCCTTAAAGAAATATTCTTTAAAAATCCACGCCTTGAAGTCCGTATGTCCTTAAAGAAATATTCTTTAAAAATCCACGCCTTGAAGTCCGTATGTCCTTAAAGAAATATTCTTTAAAAATCCACGCCTTGAAGTCCGTATGTCCTTAAAGAAATATTCTTTAAAAATCCACGCCTTGAAGTCCGTATGTCCTTAAAGAAATATTCTTTAAAAATCCACGCCTTGAAGTCCGTATGTCCTTAAAAAAATATTCTTTAAAAATCCACGCCTTGAGTAAAGAAATATTGCTTATCCACGCCTTGTCCTTCAAAATGTCCTTAAAGAAATATTCTTTAAAAATCCACGCCTTGAAGTCCGTATGTCCTTAAAGAAATATTCTTTAAAAATCCACGCCTTGAAGTCCGTATGTCCTTAAAGAAATATTCTTTAAAAATCCACGCCTTGAAGTCCGTATGTCCTTAAAGAAATATTCTTTAAACATCCACGCCTTAAAGTCCGTATGCCCTTGAAGAAATATTCTTTAAACATCCACGCCTTGAAGTCCGTATGTCCTTAAAGAAATATTCTTTAAAAATCCACGCCTTGAAGTCCCTATGTCCTTAAAGAAATATTCTTTAAAAATCGGCGGCTTGAAGTCCGTATGTCCTTAAAGAAATATTCTTTAAAAATCCACGCCTTGAAGTCCGTATGTCCTTAAAGAAATATTCTTTAAAAATCGGCGGCTTGAAGTCCGTATGTCCTTAAAGAAATATTCTTTAAAAATCCAGGCCTTGAAGTCCGTATGTCCTTAAAGAAATATTCTTTAAAAATCCACGCCTTGAAGTCCGTATGTCCTTAAAGAAATATTCTTTAAAAATCGGCGGCTTGAAGTCCGTATGTCCTTAAAGAAATATTCTTTAAAAATCCAGGCCTTGAAGTCCGTATGTCCTTGAAGAAATATTGTTTAAAAATCCACGCCTTGAAGTCCGTATGTCCTTAAAGAAATATTCTTTAAAAATCCACGCCTTGAAATCCGTAAGTCTTTAAAGAAATATTGTTTAAAAATCCACGCTTGAAGTCTTTTGGTCCTTGAAGAAATATTCTTTAAAAATCCACGCCTATAAGTCAGTTGGTCCTTGAAGAAATATTGTTTAAAAATCCACGTCTATAAGTCTGTTGGTCCTTGATGAAATATTATTTAAAAATCCACGTCTATAAGTCTGTTGGTCCTTGTAGAAATATTCTTTAAAAATGAAAATATCCCTTTTAAAATCCACGCCCTGAAATCTGTTAGTCCTTGAAGAAATATTCTATACAAATTCAAGTCTACTTCTCTAATATTTCGTGAGGAAAATCAAAATCCAATACTGTTAGTATTTGAGGAGACATACATACCTAGCCTCAATTACCAATTATTTCCGTGAAAGTGTGCGTATAACTGTTATTATAACGTATTCGTAACCATATGCTTATAGAAAATACAACACACTATTATTAAAATGAATAAAAACGATAACAAGCCTTGTTGTATATTAATTAAATATTTTGAAATGGTTATTCACAAAAATAATACAACGTACCGTAACTAATGCGGAACATAATCATTTGAAAATGTAAGCACCCCCAATTTCAAAGCAACAACAACGAGAAACGGAAATGTGTTGTCATTTAAAATCATTTTGTTGTTTTTATAGTCAAATGGCGTAATGTCCTGACCGAACTCACCAACATCAATGGGTTAGAACGTGAACGAGAGGAAGCCCTTTATTGCCTCGAATGTTTACCCTCATGTCAGGATATACGTTATAGTGTATCGGCAATGGCATTACCCGTTGATGGTTATTCATTTCAAAAAGGGATTATGTAAGTATATTGGTGGTGGATTGGGGCAGGCAGCATCAATTGGTTGTTGTTGTCGCAACATCTGTCCCAAGGACATGTTATGAATAGAATTACAATTGAATATTAATAACATATGTGTATCAATAAATATATGACCTTTGGCGTGTTTTTTTACTGTTTCTGCTTCCGTTCTACATTTTCCCAATACCAATTTTGTATATTCATTTGTATTTAACTCAGTGACGGTAACTTCCAAACAAATTATTCGGATCTCTCAGTGTTGCGGGTGTTTTTCGATGAAGCAACATCGCCATATTATATGCGGGTCAGCACAAATTCGTGGGTGGAATCATCGAGTAAGTCATGAATTTAGACATTTTTATATTTTAAAGAATATTCAGATCAGACTCCTAGGCGTGGATTTTTAAAGAATATTTCTTCAAGGACCAACAGACTTTTAAGACGTGGATTTTTAAAGAATATTTCTTCAAGGACCAACAGACTTTTAAGGCGTGGATTTTTAAAGAATATTTCTTCAAGGACCAACAGACTTTTAAGGTGTGGATTTTTAAAGAATATTTCTTCAAGGACCAACAGACTTTTAAGGCGTGGATTTTTAAAGAATATTTCTTCAAGGACCAACAGACTTTTAAGGTGTGGATTTTTAAAGAATATTTCTTCAAGGACCAACAGACTTTTAAGGCGTGGATTTCAAAGAATATTTCTTCAAGGACCAACAGACTTTTAAGGCGTGGATTTTTAAAGAATATTTCTTCAAGGACCAACAGACTTCTAAGGCGTGGATTTTTAAAGAATATTTCTTCAAGGACCAACAGACTTCTAAGGCGTGGATTTTTAAAGAATATTTCTTCAAGGACCAACAGACTTCTAAGGCGTGGATTTTTAAAGAATATTTCTTCAAGGACCAACAGACTTCTAAGGCGTGGATTTTTAAAGAATATTTCTTCAAGGACCAACAGACTTCTAAGGCGTGGATTTTTAAAGAATATTTCTTCAAGGACCAACAGACTTCTAAGGCGTGAATTTTTAATGAATATTTCTTCAAGGACCAACAGACTTCTAAGGCGTGGATTTTTAAAGAATATTTCTTCAAGGACCAACAGACTTCTAAGGCGTGGATTTTTAAAGAATATTTCTTCAAGGACCAACAGACTTCTAAGGCGTGGATTTTAAAAGAATATTTCTTCAAGGACCAACAGACTTCTAAGGCGTATATTTTTAAAAAATTTTTTCTTCAAGGACCAACAAACTTCTAAGCGTGGATTTTTAAAGAATTTTTCTTCAAGGACCAACAAACTTCTAGGCGTGGATTTTTAAAGAATTTTTCTTCAAGGACCAATAAACTTCTAGGCGTGGGTTTTTAAAGAATTTTTCTTCAAGGACCAACAAACTTCTAGGCGTGGATTTTTAAAGAATTTTTCTTCAAGGACCAACAAACTTCTAGGCGTGGATATTTAAAGAATTTTTCTTCAAGGACCAACAAACTTCTAGGCGTGGATTTTTAAAGAATTTTTCTTCAAGGACCAACAAACTTCTAGGCGTGGATTTTTAAAGAATTTTTCTTCACAGACTGTCAGACTTCTAAGGCGTGGATTTTTAAAGAATATTTCTTCAAGGACTGTCAGACTTCTAAGGCGTGGATTTTTAAAGAATATTTCTTCAAGGACTGTCAGACTTCTAAGGCGTGGATTTTTAAAGAATATTTCTTCAAGGACTGTCAGACTTCTAAGGCGTGGATTTTTAAAGAATATTTCTTCAAGGACTGTCAGACTTCTAAGGCGTGGATTTTTAAAGAATATTTCTTCAAGGACTGTCAGACTTCTAAGGCGTGGATTTTTAAAGAATATTTCTTCAAGGACTGTCAGACTTCTAAGGCGTGGATTTTTAAAGAATATTTCTTCAAGGACTGTCAGACTTCTAAGGCGTGGATTTTTAAAGAATATTTCTTCAAGGACTGTCAGACTTCTAAGGCGTGGATTTTTAAAGAATATTTCTTCAAGGACTGTCAGACTTCTAGGGGTGGATTTTTAAAGAATATTTCTTCAATGACTGTCAGACTTCTAAGGCGTGGATTTTTAAAGAATATTTCTTCAAGGACTGTCAGACTTCTAAGGCGTGGATTTTTAAAGAATATTTCTTCAAGGACTGTCAGACTTCTAAGGCGTGGATTTTTAAAGAATATTTCTTCAAGGACTGTCAGACTTCTAAGGCGTGGATTTTTAAAGAATATTTCTTCAAGGACTGTCAGACTTCTAAGGCGTGGATTTTTAAAGAATATTTCTTCAAGGACTGTCAGACTTCTAAGGCGTGGATTTTTAAAGAATATTTCTTCAAGGACTGTCAGACTTCTAAGGCGTGGATTTTTAAAGAATATTTCTTCAAGGACTGTCAGACTTCTAAGGCGTGGATTTTTAAAGAATATTTCTTCAAGGACCAACAGACTTCTGTTGTTTTATTTTAAATTCTTTGAAAAGAAATATATGAAATAATATATTTTTTAAAATTTCTCTACAGGTACAGTGGGCAACATTGTATCGATCTGCATGGGTTTTTCGATGGTGGCAGTATTGGAAATATTTTATTTCATTGTTAAGTATTTGATTATAGCCTTGAAGAAGTATATTTCACAAACTACAAGACCAAAGAAATGGAAGCGGGCATCACGTTTATTCAAGCCGAATGAGCCACTATATATTTGTCCTTAAATCATTTCTTATATATTTATGCAATATCATATTAATAAAATTATATCCTTGTTATGCACCATTATTAAAATAAAGGTAAAAATTGTAGTGTGCACAAAATTAGTGTTTTTTCAATAAATTTTCAAAAGGTAAGTGCTAAATCGCATTTTTTGTTTTGTTTTGCAACTAGTGTATTTTTTCTAGGATTTTTATCATCTACCATATTCTTATCCATATTTAAATTTCAATCCTTCATGGCAATATAATTAATGGTTCGACAGGTTTTCGTCTCTGAATTCGATTTGTATCCATTGATAATTCGTTACGTAAAGTTTTAAATAATTGTTGCAGCACAAAAAAGATCACTTCACCAATACCAACTAATGAAAATCCCGCAAGAACGCCACAAATGCTGCCGATATAACCTGCAGACGAAATATTAAACATATCTTAATTTATAAGGAAAAACAAAGGTATCAATAGGCGCATAATTTATTTCATACCGCATACCACAAATAAAATACTTACTGAATTTTTCAAACCATGAATTTAAGAGGAATCGTCGATAATAGACACCATGGGTTACGCCAAAATACACATGCAGCAAGGCTAAATCTGAAAGATTTCCTTTGTGATTACTGTAAAGGAAAAAGAAAACAAATAAATAAAATTAGAATGTCGTTAAGTTTTGACGAATAGATCTTTCAATAACCTCCACTATATGGAGGGTGTCGTAGGGGGTGGTAGGTACCAAGCAAAGGCTCTGATTGGCTTTAACATGACGAAGCCCAGGCTTATCTTGGGCCCTCTTTCATCTCAATTGTGGACACCTGGGGTAGCAATATTCACCATCCGCTGAAATAGTGAGCTGATATGAGCAGCGAGTTTACCCATAAGAACTATAACAATTGGGTTGAGGCGTCGGGCTAATTACCCACACTCGGAATACCCCTCCTACTAGGAAAAAGCAACGAAAAAAGAAAACCAAAACCCCCTAATGTTGACGATCCCCGCTAACGTATACTCGTAAAGGCCCACGATTTCGGAATTTACACATGGAATGTTCGCACGCTGTACAGAACAATGACGGATGTATTCACATCGCCAATATGAGGTCAGAATAGCAATTAATCCGCTGAAGAATAATAAAGGAGCAGATGCTGATGGATAATCATCCGAGAAATAACTCTCCTTTCCATCGCATATAAGGCGCCATCCAGCGTACTGTATGAACGACTGAAGACAATGGTCAATGACATTATTGGACGATACCAATGCGGCTTCAATCCTTGCAAATCCACCATTGCCTACATTTTCACTCAGCGCCAAATCCTGAATCCGAAAAGACCCACGGAAAACTCATTGACACATTCCACCAATTCTTCGACTATAAAACCGCATTCTTCATTCTATGAGGTTGTTTAAAGGCAATTGTGCGTTCGAAACTCCTGCAAACTTGATACGGCTATGCAGGATAACTAAAGTCGGAAAAAACCTCCCACCTTCCTCACTCACGATCGCTATACTTACGGAATGATCAATTAGTCTAAAGAGACAACCTTTAGTTCGTCTATAGAAACGCCCTTCAGTTAGTCTATTGAGCTTGTATGAAGATTCCCCGAGCGTCAACTTCTCTATAAGTATACCCAAAGCTTTAGCTCGCCATTGAGCTTCAGTTCGCTCCAGAGCTTCAGCCCGCCTGTATAAACTCTCCGAGCTTCAGCTGTCTATACGGACCCGTATTAAAACACTTGGAGACTTAGTTCGTCTATAAAGAAATCCTGAGCTTCAGTTCGACTAAAAGGACACCTAAATTTCAGCTGTTCAATAAAGACCCGTCTGAAATGGCTCCATGAGTTTCAGCTCTCATTAATGAAGTTCAGGGACTTAACTTATTTATGAAGACTCCCTGAGCTTCAGTTCGTCTAAAAAAACTTCCTGAGCTTCAACTCGTCTAAAAAGACTACCTGAATTTCACCTAGTCTATAAATATTCTGAGCTTCAGCTCGTCTGAAAGGACTCCCTGAGCTCCTGCTCATCTATTAAATCTTCTTGAGATGGAAATTGTCTATAAAGCTCCTTTGAACTCTCAGCTTGCCTATAGAAACCTTCCTGCTTATTAGTTTGCCCGACTTTTTGAATTCATAATACGCAAAAAAATTCATAATACGCTTTATAAAAATCAGAACAAAAGTTGTACATTATACAACAAAGTCTGATATTGAAAAATATCCACATTATCCCAAGACTTCAATCCTTTCAACCCCCTTCGCCAACGTCACAATAGCCATACTTACGTGAATGATTTCATATTATATTCGTTTAATGGTAAATCCATTACGGTGACACTATATTGTGTTTCACTACAGGTGGGTAGACAATATGGGCAATATAATGAATCCTCCATTTCACGTTCCAGGCCAGCGGTATTTGGTCGTTGTGTCATAACATTGTACCATTTAACTGAAAAGAAGAAAACCCCACAAGAAAAATAAGGAGAAGAAGAACAATATAATATGTCAGTAACATATTGAATTGAATAAGGTAAGGTAAGTGCTTGAAGACGCCATTAAGGAAGTATTATTCGGTCTTCACTGCGACAAGAATTATAACAACAACAACTTACAATCATAACGCATCAGACATGCACGATGTTGCAGGCTACAGTAAGCGGTCGACGATGATATATTCAAACTATTCGCCATAAAGGGCAAGCATTCACACAACACAACTTGGCTGCGTGTTCGACAATAGGATATGCAACTACTGTAGGTATACGATTTTCCGAAGAGTTCGGGCAGTTCATCATTAAACATGCAGTTGCGCTATGGAGGTTATACATAAAGTCAATGAAGTGAGTATTTGAGTTTTTATAATATTGAAATATTAATATACATACCACTCGAGGTTTATAAAATCGCACTTCATCGATTGTCTGAAAAATTCTTGGATTTAAGGCTAGAAATGTATCTTTACCCCCTTCAACAATACGTTCTTCTACACTGCCGGAGGATGGATCGGGTGAGATATAGGGACTGTGTATGAAAACCTGATGAAGGGGACATTCCGATTAATACTATACCATGATATTTTGGGCATACTCACCTCAAACCTTTCCGAAGAGGCCGTTGGTATAAAGTCATCAGCTTGTGAAGCATTTAGCAAGACGACTAAACCCATATCTGGACCAAAAAATCGATGACGGAATTTACGTTTTGCTGTGTACCTAAGACATACATATAAACCAGTAATGAAAGTATGATAAAGTCGGACTGGGCCGACTATATGATACCCTTCACCACTTTAGGTATATTGTACATATGTATCCTTACAATTGCATTGCAATTTTCCCTCGAAGGAACATACTCATGTCTTTCTACAACCTATACTAAATTTAATTTCATTCGGGCAGATTTAGAGTCGTCTGCGTACCATGGGACAATATTATAGACAAAGATGTATAGCAAAATTGATACACGAATTTCGGTACGTCGCACTGTTAAAAATGTAATCTCAATCAGACACTCGTTCGAGATACATATGGAAGCTATGGCTACATCTCCACCAAAACGCAATAACGTCATTCCGGGGCCCCGCTCTGGATACGTCGTTGGGAGCTATATCTAAATCCCATCTTAATCTTAACACTCATCGTTCTAGACTTAATTCAGTACGTTATGCCAAATTTCGTGCAAATCGAAGGAAATATAGGGACTTTGGTCCACTATTTACCTAAAATCGGACGAAAATATATATGGGAGCTATATCTAAATCTGAAATGATATTTACTAACCTTAGCACACATAATTCTAGACTCATTTCAGTGCGCTATGCCAAATTTTGTGCAAATCGAAGGATATATAGGGACTTTGGTGCACCATTTACCTAAAATCGGAAGGAAATATACATAGGAGCTATATCTAAATCTGAGCCGATATTCACGAAATTTAACACTCATCATTCTAAACTTAATTCAGTACACAATGGCAAATTTCGTGCAAATACAAGGATATATAGGGACTTTGGTGCACCATTTACCTAAAATCGGACGAAAATAAATATGGGAGCTATATCTAAATCTGAACGATTTTCACAAAATTTAGCACACATTGTTCGAGGCTTAACACAATACGTTTTGCCAAACTTCGGGAAAATCAAAGAATATATAGGCACTTTGGTGCACTATTTACCTAAAATCGGACGAAAATATATATGGGAGCTGAACAGATTTTTCCCAATTTCAATAGGGTTCGTCCTTGGGCCAAATAAATGAGCTGTTCCAAATTTCATCCTATTCGAATCAAAAATGCGACCTGTACTTTGTTTATAATTTAACATGGACAGACGGACGAACGGACATGCATAAATCGACTTAAAAAGTGATTCTATGCATTTTCTCAAAAGGACCCATGTGTCTATCTCGTTTCCTTTTACAAACATATGCACAAAGACATAATACCCTGTACCATAGTGTGTGAAGTCAGCTCGTTTTTAAAAATTCCCTGGGAATCAGCACGACTATAAAGACTCCTTGAGCTTCAGTTCGTCTAAAAGAACTTCTGCGTCTCAGGTTGAAAATAAAGAGCCCCAGAGCATCAGCTTATCCTTAGGGCTCCATCGGCTTTAGCTGGTCTAGAAAGAAACCCTGAGTTTCAGTTCACTTATAAAGACTTATTATGCTCCAGCTTTTATATAAAGACAAGCCTGTGCTTCAACTCATTTATCCAGAGTTTTAGCTCGTCTAAAAGGACTCTTAAGCTTCAGCTAGTCAATAAGGACTCCCTGAGCTTCAGTTCGTCTAAAATGGCTCCCTGCGTATATGCTCTCTTATAACAAAATGTAGTAATAAGGATTTCCTAAGACCGTTCCAGATCGTCTAAAACCATCTAGAAAGACCTCTAAGCTTCAGCTAGTCTCCTCGAACTTAAGCTCGTGTATAAATACTCAATAGGCTTGGAATAAATCTATAAAGATCGTCTATAAAGGCGCCATGAACTTCAGTTCATTTTCAGCTAATCTAAAATTACCCCTGAGTTTAGCTCGTCAATAAAGACTCCTTGAACAACATCTTGACAATAAAAAGTTTCAGATTATCAGCTCGTCTATAGGGTTCCCTGAACTTCAGCTTGTCTATAAAAAATCCTGAGCTTCAGTTCGCGTGTGAAGACTATAAAAGCCACTTATGCTTCTGCTCACATAAAAATACTATCTAAGCTTCAGATCACTTATAAAGATTCCCTGAGGCTTACTTCGGATATAAGGACTCCCTGACCTTCAGCTCATCTATAAAGGCGCCATGAACTTCAGTTCATTTTCTAGCTCGTCAATAAATACTCCTTGAACTACATGTTGGCAATAAAGAGTTTCAGAGTATCAGCTTGTCTATAGGGTTTCCTGAACTTCAGCTTAAGCTCCATCTGGTCAATACGGAGCTCTCCTATTTATACACTATTTGAACTTTAGCTCGAATATCGCTACCTGAGCTTCAGATCGCTATAAAGACTTCCTGAGTCTTGGTTCGTGTAAAAAGAGCTTCAGATCGCTTATAAAATGATCTCTGAGTTTCAGCTCGTCTTAAAACTGCCTGAGTTTCAGTTCTATTATCAAGATTCTCTGAACTTCAGCCCGTCTATAAGGACTACCTGAGTTTCAGATTGCCTGTAAGTACTCCCTTAGCATCACCTCATCTATAAAGACTTACTGAGCTTGAATTTTTCTATAAAGGCTTTAGCTCTTCTCCAAGGAAACCCGAAGCATTGGCTTGTCTATAAATATTTTCTAAGCTCATGTGCGTCTAAAAACTTCCTTTGGCTTCAATTCGTCTGTAAAAACCCCTCTGAGCTTCACCTCGCCATAAAATACTTTTCTGACTCTTAGTTGATTTTTATCGCTTCCGAAATGTTTATATTTATAGAAAAACTTACTTTTTATCCCGATTAAATGTACAGCATAGACCCCTTGCGGTAAACGTCTTCGTAAATTCTTGGGCGCAATCAATTTCTTCACCTCCAAGGCGGCATCCTTTCAATATGGTGCTACAACTTGGTGTTAACTGTAAGAAAATCTCAACTTCAGACATTTTTTCCTGCTGCCTGATACAACTTCACTACGTACCAGGGCCATTCTTCGTTTCGTATTAAAGAACATTTCGTCATCCTCCCGATCGTAAATATCAAGAAATCGCTGAAATTTCAATGCATTCTCATAATCGGGCATATCACCGCGTACATAGTAATTGTATTGCAAGAATTTAATTTGCTTATAAAAATAATCGGCGCTACGTTTTCTGGGATCCTTCATGCGTCTGTTGATTACGTTCCGTTGCGTTGCATTCGATAAACAAAAGGATTTCATTAACAAACAAGAACAAAAAACCCCGTTTGGATAGGGGTAACTCACAGTTCTTCGGCATAACGTCTGGCCGACTCGTTCGATATGCGATTCATTGAACAAATCGATACAGCCGGAAATGAGACTTCACTTATGGGATATATGGGATCGTAAATAGAGGTGGTCAGCAGCCGTTTGTTCGTGTTGTTGTAATTCATAAGGAAAATAATTAGCGCCGACAATGTCAATATATGGAAGGCAAGCCAAAATAGTCTGCATCCAAATACAGTGGGTTGTGGGTGCATATGTAGGTATGTATGTTATACACATATCGTGGAATATGTGACCATATGGGAAATGGAAAAGTAACGTTTATTCTTAGTGGGGGTTTCAACATGTACCATGATTTATTTTAGAATGACAGGTTAATGGCGGTGCTGTAGTGCAAATAAATGATATTCCAGCTAATTACGCATCCTTTTCGGGGTTGGTTAATTAACAGGGAGAATGGTATTCAATTGTTATGGAAGGGAAACAGTGGTAAAGCTCGTCCATGGTAGGCTCATGGTGTTTCTGTTCATATATTAAGAATTCTGAATTCAACCTCAGCTCTCCTCTAATGAATCCCTGAACTTATATAAAGGCTACCCGAGCTCTAGGTTTGTATACTACATAGAGCTCCCTGAATATCAATTGTCTTTAAAAACTACCTGAGCCCCAGCTCACCTATAAGGTTCTCTGAGCCTCAGCTCTATTATATAGATTCCCTGAGTTTCAACTCGTTTGTAAAGACTCTCTGATCATTAGCTCTTCTATAGAGACTCTCTAAGCTTCAGTACATTTATAAAGGCCACCTGAGTTCAACGTCGTCCCTGAGTTTTGCCCTGAGCATTAACTCTTCTATAAATATTCCCTAAGCTGAAACCCGTCTCAAAAGGTTCCCTGATCCACTGCTCTTTTCTAAGGTCTACTTAGGCTCCAGGTCGTCTAAAAAGAATCCTTGAGCCTCAGCTAATCTATAAAGACTCCCTGAGCATCACCTCTTCTATAATGACTCCCTAAGCTAAAGCTCGTCTATAAAGACTCCCCGAGCTTCAGCTGATTTACAAATATTCCTTGAGCTTCAGGTCATCTATAAAGGCTACCTGAGCTTCAGGTCGACCATAAAGACTGAGACCTGAGACTCTCAGCTAGTCTATAAATTCATTGAGCTTCAGCTCTTCTATAAAGACTCCTAGATATTAAGCTCAGCTACCTGAGCTCTAGGTCGTCTAAAAATACTGCCTGAGCTTCAGGTTGACCATAAAGACTCCCTGTGTCTCCCAGCTCACCTATAAAGACACTTGAGCCTCAAGTCTCCTATAAAAACTCCCTGAGCTTCAGCTCTTCTATTAAGACTCCCAGATCTTAAGCTCGTCTATAAAGAATCCCTGAGCTTCAGTTGTTCTATAAAGACTACCTGAGCTACAGGTCGTCTATAAAGACTACCTGAACTCTAGATCGTCTATAAAGACCCTTGAGCCTTAGCTCTTCTATACAGACCTCCTGAGCTTATGCTATAAAGACTCACTGAGCCTTAGCTCCATGTCGTATATAAATAATCCTTCAGCCTCAGGTTGACCATAAAGACTCCCTGTATCTCCCAGCTCATCTATAAAGACACTTGAGCCTCAACGCTTCTATAAAAACTCCCTGAGCTTCAGCTCTTCTATTAAGACTCCCAGATCTTAAGCTCGTCTATAAAGAATCCCTGAGCTTCAGGTCGTCTATAAAGTCTACCTGAACTATAGATCGTCTATAAAGACCCTTGAGCCTTAGCTCTTCTACCCTTGAGCCTCACCTCTTCCCTATTTATATAAAAATCCCTGAGCCTCGGCTTTTCTATAAAGGCTATCCAAGCTCCAGGTCATCTATAAAGAACCTTGAGCTACACACTCCTATAT